CCATTAACCTCATCACTTTCTAACGTGTGAAAAAATATATACATTAAATAACCATGAGATAGCACTTAAGGTTTAAAGTACATTTACTGTATCCTGGGTCCCAGTCAATTACTTGTTCTCCATTTGTTGAGCAGGGACAGACGTTCTCATTTAAATCTTGTGTAAATTTTAATTATTTGGGACCTTAGAACAGTTCAGAAAGTCACACATTGTTAATCCGTGCGTGGATAAAAAATAATCAAATGAAGATAGTCGGCATATAATGTACTAAAATCAATCATGAAGGAAGTTTGAAAAATAATCTCTATAATTCTCTTAAACTCTACGTTTGACCAACCAGCATTGTTATGTGATTTTAACCTTTAGGTAAAGGTTTTGCCTATCCCTGGAATTATGGAACGTGGGATATATCCTTGTGATGTATAAAGATTGAGATAAAGAATGTAAGCCTTATTGATCATTAGACAAAGTATTGAAAGCTTTAGCTGAAAAAAGCAGGAAAATAAGGTGCTTTTATGTTTACCTTCTTCTTCTTTCTAATGCTTTTCATGCCCACTCCAATCAGTGTCCTATCCCTAGGAATACGGGAAAAGTACATAGGGCATGTCTATCAGATTTACATATTTGCAACTGGAAGATTTCTTCACCTTTCAAAATACAGACTGGGGGAGAGGAGAGGGAGTCTGATCACATCCTGACAGGGGGAGACGAGATGGAGATTGATCAGTGTGATAGTGTGAAGGTGGGGTGGGGGGGGCTGAGACATACCCAATAATGCAATCTGACTGTGTTTTTAAACATATAATATATATTTTACAAGTTGTTCTTACTTTTTGTTTGTTTTGTATATTTGTTTCAAAGTGTTTGCCTGCTGGTTGTAATGTGATATATGTCACTTTAATCAGACCGTGGCCTCCTGGAGTCCTTATTGATCTAAGTAGCTTATTGTTCAATGCTTCCCTACATGGCATTCAGTGCACTTGGTATCTTTATCGAAGGTATGGAAACCATTAGTGAGTTATCTTGAACAATGATTATCTATAGCAGTGTTTGTTATCTGAGTTTCCTAAAAAGAAACTGTTATTTCTCCAATTGTGCCAGTTCCTTCATCCCAGGGAACACTACTGGAGAGCTATAAAACACACTGAACTGCAGGTCCATGTGTAGGTGACATCATCGCCCTATGATTCTCAGCTTCTAAAGTGCCACATGTACATTCCTTCTGTTTCGTAAGAACGCTTGCATCCTCACACTTCCTTCACGCAGGACGTTAAATGCTTGGGCATTCTGGACTAAAATATTAATTTTAAAAAAAAATATATGTTGTTTTTTTATCCACAACAATTTTTGTTTACTTTTAGAAAATGAAAGATTCCATGTGATACATTTACTACATCTTACTGTGACCTCTTTTAAACTCTCTGATGCTCAGTTTAAGAGACTGTGCCTTTTCATCTTCACGTGACACATTTTACTGTAATTACAGACATCTGGGTTTACATAAGAGAGTGAAATAATTATACTGACCTTTATTAGCCAAGACAAAACGGAGTCATTTGTACGATGACTCTGCTCCCGTCCTTTGCTAATCTGACAAGTATCCTTAATTGGGTTATTAATGTTTCATTAGCAACATCGAATTAGAGTTCTTTTTCTTCATTTTCAGTAAATGAAAGTGACAAAATTAAGTTTCCTAGTAAAGTCATATTCAATAAGTGACCGTGCAGAGATTTTCTAAGCAATATTTGTTCTTTTCAAATTTTCAGAAGTAGAAAATTGACTTGGTCAGACTGACCTTTCATGGTCAAACCAAGCATCGTGTTTTAGTAAAGTAGGTGATAGCTTTCAATGTCTGTTTTACATTTAAAATGTCCACTGATACTTGGAGAAATTGTCTGCTTCAGGTAGGACATAGAATTTGATCCATACTATGTGCTAGTGAGCTCATATAATAAATGCAACTCTGGAGGCTTCTTTGTGACCTTGAATTGGGTATGGTGCCCTACATGGTGCGCAGGTCAATATCCTATGGTTCTAGCTATGAGTATTTCATTCTGGAGTTCTTGTTGCTCTGGTCATATTGCTATGTTAACCCCTTCAATAACAGAATTAGGTTACATAGTTACATAGTTACATAGCTGAAAAGAGACTTGCGTCCATCAAGTTCAGCCTTCCTCACATTTGTTTTTATGCTGTTGATCCAAAAAAAGGCAAAAAAACCCAGTTTGAAGCACAATTTTGCAACAAGCTAGTAAAAAAAATCCTTCTTGACCCCAGAATGGCAGTCAGATTTATCCTTGGATCAAGCAGTTATTACCCTACATTGAAAGATTATATCCTTGAATATTCTGTTTTGCAAGTATGCATCTAGTAGCTGTTTGAACATCTGTATGGACTCTGATAAAACCACTTCTTCAGGCAGAGAATTCCACATCCTGATTGTTCTTACAGTAAAAAAACCTTTCCTTTGCCTTAGACGAAATCTTCTTTCTTCCAGTCTAAACGCATGGCCTCGTGTCCTATGTAAAGTCCAGTTTGTGAATAGATTTCCACACAATGGTTTCTATTGGCCCCGAATATATTTGTATAATGTTATCATATCCCCTCTCAGGCGACGTTTTTCTAATCTAAACAGGTGTAAATTTGTTAACCTTTCTTTATAGCTGATATGTTCCATTCCTTTTATTAATTTTGTAGCCCGCCTCTGCACTTTTTCTAGTGCTATAATATCCTTCTTTAGAACAGGTGCCCAAAATTGCACAGAATATTCAATATGTGGTCTTACCAGTGATTTATAAAGAGGCAAAATGAGTTTCTCGTCCCGAGAATGAATGCCCTTTTTCATGCATGACAATACCTTACTGGCCTTGGCCACTGCTGATTGACATTGCACATTGTTGCATAGTTTGTTGTCTATAACAATTCCCAAGTCCTTTTCGTGTGTTGTTATCCCTAATTCGCTTCCATTAAGGGTATATGTTGCTTGTGTATTCTTTACGCCGAAGTGCATAACTTTGCATTTTTCAACATTAAATTTCATTTGCCATTTGAGTGCCCAGTCCCCCAGTCTATCTAAATCCCTCTGCAGCAAAGTAATATCTTGCTCACATTGTATTATTTTACAAAGTTTTGTGTCATTTGCAAACACTGAAACATGACTTTCAATGCTGTCTTCAAGATCATTTATAAATATGTTAAATAGAAGGGGTCCCAGAACAGACCCTTGAGGGACACCACTTGCCACCTCTGTCCAGCTTGAAAATTTACCATTAATGACAACTCTTTGTACTCTGTTTTTACGCCAATGTTCTACCCAAGAACAAGCATTTTCATCTAGACCGATTTCCTTGAGTTTGAACACTAATCTATTGTGTGGAACTGTATCAAATGCCTTGGCAAAATCCAAATAGATCACATCCACTGCAACACCCTGTTCTATACTTCTACTTACTTCTTCGTAGAACGCAATCAAGTTAGTTTGACATGACCTGTGCTTCATAAAACTGTGCTGATTTTTGCTGATAACCATGTTCTTAATGAATTCTTGAATATTATCCCTTAATAATCTCTCAAATATTTTACCAGCCACAGAAGTTAAGCTCAAAGGTCTATAATTTCTAGGCAAGGATTTTGAACCCTTTTTGAATATAGGAACCACATCTGCCTTCCTCCAATCCTCCGGAACACTTCCTGGAAGAAAAGAATCTTGAAAGATTAAAAACAGAGGTTCACTTATTTCTACACTTAGTTCCTTAAGTAAACGTGGATGGATACCATCAGGCCCTGGAGCTTTGTTTATATTAACTTTCTTTAGTTGCTGCAGCACCTTCTCTTGAGTTAACCAATTACAATAGTTAACCAATTACAATGCAAATCAATTGTTATTGTGACAGTTCTAATATGGTTTTGCTCTTGAAGGGGTTAAAGTGCATTGTAATTTTTCTCATTTTCAAGTATGAACTGAGATGCTCAAACAATACATTCTCGTTAAAAGGTTACAAGGTTACAGATTAAGCAACCCAAACCATTTGTAGTTGTTATAGATTCAATTTGGTTGACTGAATAAACCATTATCAATTGTTAGGTGCTTGGTTTCATTGAATTAATAACTGTTAGCGGAGGTTATAAGTTTACCTTGATTATGGGGATAACCATTGTCAGTTGTTACAGGTTTGGTTTGATTGGGGGGATAACCATTGTCAGTTGTTACAGGTTTGGTTTGATTGGGGGGATAACCATTGTCAGTTGTTACAGGTTTGGTTTGATTGGGGGGATAACCATTGTCAGTTGTTACAAGTTTAGTTTAATTGGGGGGATAACCAATGTCAGTTGTTACAGGTTTGGTTTGATTGGGGGGGATAGCCATTGTCAGTTGTTACAGGTTTGGTTTGATTGGGGGGATAACCATTGTCAGTTGTTACCGGTTTAGTTTGATTGGAGGGATAACCATTGTCAGTTGTTACAGGTTTGGTTTGATTGGGGGGGATAACCATTGTCAGTTGTTACAGGTCTGGTTTGATTGGTGAGATAACCATTGTCAGTTGTTACAGATTTGGTTTGATTGGGGGATACCCCTGGCACTTGTTACAAGTTTGGTTTGATTGGGGGGATAACCCTTGTCAGCTGTTATGGTTTGGTTTAATTGGGGGGATACCCCTGTATTTGTTACAAGTTTGGTTTGATTGGGGGGGATAACCATTGTCAAATGTCTCAGGTGGGATGAAGCTATGTCTCAGGAGGGATGGAGATATGTCTCAGGTGGGATAGAGTAATGTCTCAGGTGGGATGGAGCTATGTCTCAGGAGGGATGGAGCTATGTCTCATGTGGGATGGAGTAATGTCTCAGATGGGATGGAGCAACGACTCAGGAGAGATGGGGTAATGTTTTAGGTCAGATGGGTAATCATTCAAGTGGAATGGGGTAATGTCTCAGGGGAGATGGGGTAATGTCTCAGGTGGGATGGAATTATGTCTCAGGGGAGATGGGGTAATGCTTGACATCAGATAGGCAATCTTTCAGGTGGAATGGGGTATTGTCTCAGGTGAGACCTGTAACGACTGACAATGGTTTGATTGGTGAGATAACCATTGTCAGTTTTTACAGGTTTGGTTTGATTGGGGGGATAACCAATGTCAGTTGTTACAGGTTTGGTTTGATTGGGGGGATAACCATTGTCAGTTGTTACCGGTTTGGTTTGATTGGGGGGATAACCATTGTCAGTTGTTACCGGTTTGGTTTGATTGGGGGGATAACCATTGTCAGTTGTTACAGGTTTGGTTTGATTGGGGGGATAACCATTGTCAGTTGTTACCGGTTTGGTTTGACTGGGGGGATAACCATTGTCAGTTGTTACCGGTTTGGTTTGATTGGGGGGATAACCATTGTCAGTTGTTACCGGTTTGGTTTGATTGGGGGGATAACCATTGTCAGTTGTTACCGGTTTGGTTTGATTGGGGGGATAACCATTGTCAGTTGTTACCGGTTTGGTTTGATTGGGGGGATAACCATTGTCAGTTGTTACCGGTTTGGTTTGATTGGGGGGATAACCATTGTCAGTTGTTACCGGTTTGGTTTGACTGGGGGGATAACCATTGTCAGTTGTTACCGGTTTGGTTTGATTGGGGGGATAACCATTGTCAGTTGTTACCGGTTTGGTTTGATTGGGGGGATAACCATTGTCAGTTGTTACCGGTTTGGTTTGATTGGGGGGATAACCATTGTCAGTTGTTACCGGTTTGGTTTGATTGTGGGGATAACCATTGTCAGTTTTTACAGGTTTGGTTTGATTGTGGGGATAACCATTGTCAGTTTTTACAGGTTTGATTTGATTGGGGGGTGGGGGGATCTGATTGCAGATTTGTTTTGTGGAAATACTTTTTACAGACTGAGGTTTGTTGACGTTTTGGTATCATCTGATCTATTTTTCTAGGAGAAAGCTCTGTTTATGACACCAATTTCTTGTTGTAATTGAGAATGGAGAGTAAGGTGCTGGATTGAACTGTATTATTTGTAGATTAAACACTGCATTCCCCTATAAATGTACCAATTTAAAATACGCAATTTAGTTCTGTAGGATAAGAGTATTCTAGGTTTAAAGGTTGTTGATACAAACAATGCATTATTCAAGATTATCTTTCTATCTTTTTACTGAAAATTTAAAATATTTCACAAAAAATAACATGGAAGAGATGTACTAATCAATAATAATTATGAACCACAAATTAAATAAAACACAATTATTAACAACAGCCTCTCCTTTTTTATTTTATTTATATTTCATTTATTTGTGTTTTAATTGCTGTAAATCAAAATGCTAACCATTACTGTGTTTATTCATTGTGGAATTAGCCAACATTTTAAAATAGTTCTTTATGTCAATACATTTGTTCATTTATAACATTTAACAATTCTCTGATTGATAAATTGCTACTGTTGCCCCCACAGCACCCAACATTTTTGATGGAGGAAGGAGTAATTTAAGAGTGAGGGGGATTCCTGAGCCTCCAAGAGGGGAAGTGGAAGATGTATCACAGATACTGCAGAGATTGTTCAATCAAATCTTAAAACAATCATCTGATACCCCCATAATATTAGAAAGAGCGCATAGAGCCAGGAGGCCAAAGAATTTACTCCAAGATCTACCATGCGATCTAGTTTGCTCTTTTCATTACTATTCCCAAAAAGAGGAAATATATTGTCAGTCAAGAAAACAGAAGGAATGGAAATTTGAAGGTCACCCTATTCAGATATTTCAAGATCTCTCACAGTTAACCCTGCAAGCACGGAGAGATTTAAAACCTATTGTCAATCTACTTAATGAAAGGAATATTCGCTTTAGATGGAACTTCCCATTTGCGTTAACACTTTTCCATAATGGCAAGCAAGGGATAATTACTCAACCAACAGCAGTTCCTGCGTTCTTAGAAAATCTGGGACTACCAATGGTAGATGTTGAAGATTGGACTGGAAGGAGACAAAGTAATTCATTGGCACTACCACAGAAGGTGAGATGGCAAACCGTTAAAAAGAAAAGAGAAAGATAAGCATCACCTCTGTAAAAACTACCTGGTACAATTTAAGTTTTGAGATGTTATTGGAGGGGGACAGGGAGGGGGAAGGGAGGAAGAAAAGGGACTAAAAAGGGGGGAAGGAGGAAAGGGGGAAAAGGAGGAAAAAATTGCTTTGGAAGGAATAAGATGAGGGGAAGGGAAATTAATCATTGGATTGCAATGTTGAAGTCATTTCTTGCTGACATCTTTTTTTATTTCTGTTTTCCTCACTCCCTTGGTTCTTTTTTTCTTTCTATTGTCCGTTAGAGCTTTTAAATCCTATTAAGATTTATGGGCTCATCATGTGTATGTTAGTTCTAAGATTAGGAGGCTGTCATAGCTCTGAGACTGGGTAACAGTCCTAAGATTTCATTTCATTATCATTCAGTTAAAATGTTCGGATAATTTCACCACAATGTTTCTTTTTATATGATTAAGGATTTATTATGGCAAGCTCATTTAATACCGAAGTGCCAGTAATACGCCATTGCCTTCTCTAGAGGTGCAACTATTTTCCTGCAGGAATCTTGATTTGATAACCCTGCAAGATTTGCACCATTGTGTGAAAGCGAGACTATCAGATCATAGAACGCAAATGTGTATAGGTGCTTCATTTTATTTATTTTTTTTGTTTTATTATTTGTGTTGGTTTTTAAAGTTTTATTTTCAATTAATATTTTTTGTATTACCCAAGCGGTATCTTATCTAATGGGAATATGTCAGCTGTGGTGCTTTAAGTATAAACTGCCTCCTAATATGGCTAGGCTTTGGGAAACCGAATATAATGTTGAGTGGCAGACATTAAAATAATGACCCTAAACGTTAGGGGACTAAATATCCTGGAGAAACGTACTATATTATTTAATAATCTCAATAAGAGCACAGCCGATGTTTGTTTTGTTCAAGAGACGCATTGTAAAGAGGGCTCTGCACCAACTCTAAACTCTAATTTCATGTCACAGGGTGTAGTATAGTAATTACCATAAAGGAAAATCTACGGGAGTAGCAGTAATTTTTTTTTTAAGTGAATTTCTCTCCAATTCAGAGTATTACCGACCCCCAGGGTAGATTTCTGTTTATTAAAGGATTATTGAATAATATCAAATTTACTTTCGCTAACATGTATGCACCAAATACCCTTTATAAGACGTGTATTAAATAAATTAGAAGAGATAATAGAGAGAGAATATTGGTAGTCAGGGGAGATTGGAACTTGGCATTGGACCAGAGGTGGGATAGCACTTCCAGAGAATTTTATTTCAAAAAATATTATTCTCACATCAATTAATAGACAGCTGGAGCATAGCCAACCCAGTAGAAAGGGATTATTCTTATTATTCTCATTCTGATAATAATTATTCTAGGCTGGATATGTTTATGATTCAGCATAGATATCTTTATCTAATACAAAAAGTGAGTATTGGAAATATCACTTGGTCAGACCACGCCCCAGTTTTTTTATATTTAAAAATCCCTGGGTCACGCTGCCCAAACTCAACTTGGCGCCTAAATGAATCGTTATTGACAGACTCAAGAGTTGAGGAGGGAGTAAAAGAAAACATTGGATACATATTTTAAAGAGAATGTACATTTGGACACTCCCGTCCTATGGATTTGGGACGCACATAATTATTAGAGGAGCATTGATTAAATGGGGGGCTCAGGTTAAAAAAGAAAGGAATGTTAAAGTGGCCTCAATTTCCCAACAACTAAATGGACTAAAATTAGCCCATAAGCATAATCCTAATGATAATGAAATTTAGAAACATTTAGTTGCTCTTCGTATAGAACTGAAAAGCTTATTAAATATTGAGGCACAACATGCAGTACAATTGACGCGGGGAACATTCTATTCTTATGGTAATAAATGTGGGAAAACATTGGCAAAAGCTTTAAAATGTAAATATCAAAATTCATATATAGAAAAAATTATAGATGATTCAGGGAAATTGCATATGACAACTGATGCAATAGCGGATGCATTCTGCTCATATTATCAAAATTTATACAATCTCCCATGTCTCTTAAAAAAGGATCTTAGGCATGAATATATACATATATTTTTATATATATTACACATTTTTCCTAAGAAAATATTGAATGATCAGATGAATAGTTTAGATAATTCATTAACAACAGAGGAATTCACAAGGGTAATTAAAACTATGATACAAGGGAAAAGCCTCGGGCCAGATGGACTTACATTGTTTTATTATAAAATTTTCCAATCACAATTAGCAAAATATTGTGTTAATGCATTTAATTCTATGGGACCTGGAAGTGCTATACCCCACTCTCCCCCACACACACACCCATGCTACGAGCCTCTATTTGCCTGGACTAATCAACCCTGAGCAGGCAGGCTTTGTGATGGGCAGGGATAATACCACTAAGATACTCAGTGTAATACACGGAGCAACAATTTAAAGGATACCCACAGTCCCCCTTGCCATAAACGCAAAGAAGGCCTTTTACAGGGTGGATTGGTCCTATCCATTTAGTATTTTAGAGGCAGTTGGGCTTGGCGAGAGGTTTAAATTCTGGTTATAGACACTATACTCATAACCTACAACTAGATTCAAAGTAAATGGGCAATACTCTAGTCCCCTTCATATTAAGAATGGAACGAGGCAAGGGTGTCCTTTGTCCCCTCTTCTTTTTGTTTTGGCCCTTGAACCCCTATTACAGTCAATAAGGAAAAATCAAAGGATTTGGATTCTCAGGAGGAGAATTAAAAATTACAGCATTTGCCGATAATGTCTTGTTAATTGTAACCGAGCCTAATAACTTGTTAGCGCAAGTAAATAATGAATTCAACATATATGGAGAGGTCTCTAATTTCAAAGTTAATATATTTAAATATGAAATGTTGGGGGTGGGGACCTCAAACATCAAAAAGTTAAATTGCTTGTTTATTTAATTTTAAGTGGGTCAGGGGGGACTTATATACTTGAGGATCATTCTAACATCCTCGATATATAACATTATAAAAGCAAATTTTATTACATGACAGGAAGCTTCATATTTTGATTAAGTCTATCTTTACTTAAGCTCCATAGTAGCACAGTTTCAGAGAAACAGTGAGAACCAATCAAAAATGAGTACTACAGTATAAGACTCTGCTCTCCAAGCCATTACCCCTCTTTCTTTGCTGCTCCGCACCAGTACAGGTCAGAGGGCCACTGTCTCCTACATTTGTGTTTTTCTGTGGTATTTTTTACTTAATTTTTACTTACATTTACTTAATGTTACTTAATTACTTAATGTAATTCACATGCATTGCTATCATTTTATTATCTCAGAGTATCTTTTTACTGCACCTTTTACTTCATAACTTTATTTATTTCAATGTATTTCTTTCTTTCTTTTCTCTGTTTATTATTTCCTTATTCATTTCCTACTTTTGCTTTTTTTCTTTCATCTTATTCCTGTATATTTCTTTTGTTTTTCTCACCAGGACCTCAGCAGTCTTTAATGAAACTGCTCTGAGTTTTCCTGGGCTTTGGGCTCGCGGAGAACACCTCCGATGAGCCTTGTTCATTCCTGGTGGCCATCTTGGATCTCGCGCCATCACACGAGATCTGAGCAGCCATTTTTGGCTCTTGTCAAAACTCTTATGTTAGCTTTAGTGTACTTATAAGCTTAATTTTATTAATGACAGGAGGTGAATATTTTCCCACCCAGGTTATTTTCCCAGGCCCAGTTGTTTTCTTCTCAGGTAAGTCAGTAGACACACTTATGGATGTTCTCAATTGGTTCTTCTCCACTTGATTGTTTTAGGTTAATGGTTGTTTGTTTCCTTACCTTGATTTATGATCCAACTGTTGATCCAACTGGGATTTTAAATTGATGATAGCATGTTA